CTCTACCAAAAATAGAAAGAAATTAATTGGACAGCTAAAAATACATAGAAAAAATCAGCCGGGCATGGTGGCACGTGCCTGTAGTCCCAGCTACCCGGGAGGCTGACGCAGGAGGATCCCTTGAGCCCAGGAGTTTGAGGTTGCTGTGAGCTAGGCTGACGCCACAGCACTCACTCTAGCCCAGGCAACAGAGTGAGACTGTGTTTCAAAAAAAAAAAATTTTTTTTCTCCGTAACCATTTAAGAATGTAAAACCATTCTCAGCTTGTAGGCCACACAAAGACAAGCAGCTGACTGGATTTTGCCAACCTCTAATCTAAAAGATACCATGTAAATAAAGCATTCCAACAAAATATCAGTCTTCATCAGTTAACTGCATGCTGACTGTTTATTTAACAGTGGAAAGCTAATGCACTTCAACAAATAATTTGAGAGTATACTAAGTTTTAAGAGTGTTGTCATATTATTGTGAGCCATTCAACTTAATGTATAGTAGTTGTAGACTTTGCAGCTGATGTCATTTTTGCGATATACCACTCACTTAAAAAATATTTCTTGTAATAGAAATGTACCACATTAACCTTGAAATGTTGGATAGTAGTTGGAAAGAGGTTTGCTCCAAGAAGAAAATTTTCATTGTTTGTTATCTTTTTTGATACCGAGGGGGAAGTATAGATGTTTTTTTTGCTCAAATTGGGGGTTTAAAAATTTTTTTTATTGACCATATTGGCTTCTCAAAGTGATACTGAACATTTAATGCCAAATTAAATTTTTACTTTTAATTTAACTCACTAATTATGCTTTCTCTGACATGTTACCTATTTTCTTTCCTTGCAGTGAAAGCTATCTATCCTGTTTTTCACTGTTTTGGGCTTTGACATTCTCTACATCCATGTGGATAACTTTCACTTTTTTTTTTTTTTGGTAACAAACACATTACAGAAACTTTACCATCTTAGTCATTTTTAAGAACACACATGTATTTGTTTTTGTAAGCTCCTTTAGAGAGAGAGTGTTTCTCAGACTTTGTAAATCTGCCAGAATGCTGGTGCTTAGTAGGTGATATGAAGTAAGCCAGCATTTTCTCCTGGAACGATTTTACCAGTTTTTGAGTCCATGTCTTTATGTTGCAGTATGTTCATGCGGATGCTCCTACCAATAAAACGCTAGCTGGGCTGGTGGTGCAGCTTCTCCAGTTCCAGGAAGATGCCTTTGGGAAACATGTCACCAACCCAGCCTTCACCAAACTCCCTGTAAGTACATCAACTTATTATAATACTTTATTTCTGCACTCTTGGGTGCATCCTCCAGCTGTTTCCTTTGCTGCTGCTAACATACAGAATTTTTTTTAAAAAAAAAACCTCAACAGAATTTTGGTCATAGACTATTATTGTTTTGTTGTTTTTGAGACAGGATCTCACTCTGTTGCTAGGACTAGAGTGCAGTAGTGTCATCATAGCTCACTGCAACCTCAAACTCCTGGGCTCAAGTGATCCTCCTGTCTCAGCCTCCCAAGTAGCTGGGGCTACAAGCATGCACCACCATGCCTGCCTAGTTTTTTTTCTTTTTTCTTTCTATTTTTTGTAGAGACAAGGTCTTGCTCTTGCTTAGGCTGGTGTTGAACTCCTGGACTCAAGGGTTCTTCCTGCCTCAGCCTCCCAAAGTGCTGGGGTTATAGGCATGAGCCACTACACCCTGTCCTATTTCCTGTTCTCTTACATTATGAATTGGATTAGAATTGTCAAATTAGAAGCTGGTTGAAGTTTTCAATTGTTTAAAACACTGTAATATAGTACATATTGATTGTACTTTATTAAATAGAACATGTATTTAGAATAAAATTCCATATAACATTTTGTATAAAGTATTTTATATAATATGATTCACATTGGTATTTCTATTCAGGAATGTATGAGTGTCTTCAAAAATGGTATTTACATGGGGCATTATTCGTGGGATATTTAACTCCTGGGAGCTAACCCATTATTTACTTCCAGATTTTAAAAGATTAGAGAAGAATATTTTTAGGCATAAGCCATAATTAAAAATAATTCATGGCTTAGTGCCACTGGGACCAGATGTACCTCTCTTTCTCTCAAAATAGTGTTCAGCATTTTCCCAAATGAAAGGGATTGATATAATGCATAATGGTGCTAAACAAAACCAGATCAAAGAGACAATTAACAAAGCAAAGAATGTTTTAGTGAAATATGTAAGCTGTTTACCTTAAAAAGTTTTTTTCCTGAATAAACATTATAGTGTAAGAAGAGTTCATTATTTGGGCTGATCTTTTTGTTAAAATCAGAGTGGAACTTTATATACTAACTTCCCAAATCATTCTGGATATCAAACAGCTGGCTCATAGGGTATATTCTATCAAATGCTAATGAGAAGTTAGAAAGATTTGGAAGGAAAAAAGAATTTCGTAAGACTTAAAAGTGTGTTGCATGGCCGGGTGCCGTGGCTGACGCCTGTAATCTTAACACTCTGGGAGGCCGAGGCGGGCGGATTGTTTGAGCTCAG